ATAGCTGGATATTGGTTATTTATTCTCCAGGTGCACAGTTTTATATTATTAAAACGCCTCTTGTTGTTTTTAACGTTTTATTTTCTTTTAATTTTGCACCACTTTTGTTTTCTTTAATGTCTTTTTCAGATACTTTTAGAGGAACTCCTCCAATGACTCCCCTACTAATCTTTTTGTTCTCCACCAAGCTGCACTGAACTCTTAACCTCTCTTAAAGTCTCTTAAAGTCTCTGCAGTTTATTAACAGGTCTCCACTATAGAGGACTCTGGCACTTCTGACTTCTCCTACAAGTTTATTTATGGATTTTGTTAACTGAACCGGATTCCAATCTGCAAAAGAGTCTTTCTGATTAACTAGCTTGAATATGACTTTGTACTCATTTTGTTTGTTTCCTGTTGAATTTCTAGGTTGATCCTCAGTTGACTGTTCTGAACTGGACTCCCCTTAAATTGATCTCTGCCTTTTCCGCTTTTCCTCATTTTTTGACCCTACTCTCTTCCAATCTTCGTTGTCACCATTTTCCTCTTCCATCCCAAAGGAATTGCTGCCCGTTTCCTCGTTACTCACGGCACAGGACATTTCTGCACATGGGATTTCTATAGTGTTTGGGTGCAAGTTAAATCAGGGAATGTTTATAAAAAAATTACCTTAAATGTGTGTGCGTAGTTATTTAATTTAAATTAGTCCATCAGCTGTGTCTATTTAAGCCAGTGATTGTGTGTTTGATGAAAACTGAATGCTGTGCAGCTGAATAAACCTGCTGATACTTCAACTTCACTTTGCCTGACAAATTCATTTTCTCACTGAAAATCCAGCCGAGAGGTCGCCTGTTTACAGTACCCAATCCAGGTTTTGTCTCATCATTTCCCAAATGTTCTTCTCCGTTGTGGAAAAAACAAATGTCGCACCGGAACTCAACAAACTCAGGAGAATCTTTTCCAAAATATCTGAAGATGATAGAGACTGTCTCTGAATTCATCATCAGTAAAAGGCTAAGAGGAAGGCAAGGAACGGTTCCTGGTTTTGAATGAAAAATATAGTTTTTATTTTATCCATTAAAAGTCACTTCTCTGACTTGCTATTAATCAACATACGTAACCAAATGAGTTTAATTAATTTTATTAAGAACAATGCACAAGTATCCAAATTACCTTTACACTTTGTAAACAACACACAGCTCCACTGAGATTTTTTAAGTCCTTCTTTCCTATATCCTACTGGGGGTGAGTCTTTAAAATACTCTGCAAAAGTTGAACTAATTAACAAACACTGGCTTTAGTGAACAACCTTTTTTGAGAATTTACCATAACTTTGCTTAATAGAAGAGTGGAATCTAAAATTAAACCTTTTTTTTTCTATTTCACTGCCGGGCTTCCAAAATATGTTCAATTCAGGAGTCTGTGCTTTTCGAGATTATTTTTAGAGATGAACACAAAGGTTTCCTGTAAAGTTGAAAATATATATTTCTATAGTGATAAGCCTTTTAAATGGAACCCAGAGCAACCAGAGAATGAATGGATACAACCTTTAGAGAGTAAAACTGAAAAAAATAAATGTTTGCATCTTCTTGAAACATTTTTATTGTAGATTAAAAATAAACAATTGCACTAAAGATGTGAACAGATTTGGATCTGTTGATCAGAGATGGTCAATTAAATTCATCTAATTAACACATTTCAACGCAATAACATGTACAATAGGTAATACTGTATACATCCAGCTGTTACTCAGTAAGATTTGTTCTGCAAGAGTTTCCTTCCGAATAACGATAAAAAAATGCTGGTTGACCATTTTTAAGATGAAGCGAGAGGGTGAGGGAACTTCCATAGCCAAATGCCTCCGTCGGCGCTGCCACTGATGAGGATGCAGTTTTTCGAGCAGATCCTGGTGCAGGTAATACTGGCAGCATGAGGCATACTTGTGTGGGTTATGCTTCCTTGCAAGTAGTCCCACACTCTCAAGAGCCTGTCATCTCCCCCTAGTCATAGAGATGGATAGAAATGTTTTAAAAGCGTTAAAAAAGCTGAAAAACTGCCTTCCAGGATCAGCAGGGAGGCGAAAACATGGGTTCTGAGTAGATGAAATGGGCTGAATGAGATACAGGATTAAAAACAAACCATACTATAATAATCTTGATAATTTTTTTAATAAATAAGGAATTATGATTGTGTTGCTATAGGAACACAACCTGTTTTAATCAGAATGAGCATCATCAGCAGATGGATGATATTCAAAGCAACCTTCAGTTTCTCTTAGAAGTTTCTACTTATCTTGAGCATTTTTTAGGATTGTTTTAAATTTGAGTTCTTACTGTTCAAACTCTAAAAACAAAAAAAATAAAGTTTGAATTAACTGCAGATCTTCTCTTATAGGGAGTCAATCATAAAAGCCTATCATCAGCCTCTTTTATTCAACCTAATTTAAACAATTCACTATCCAGAAGAAATCTATAGTAATAAAAAAAAATGTTTGCTCAGAACTATGTTTGATGTTGGGATATAAACCCAGTAGAAAAGGCTTATTAAGACCGCCCAAACTATCACTGCAGACACAATGTTAGAGCAACGCTGATAGAAACAGACCCGTCACAAAGTGGTTGCCGTCCTTTGTGATGTCCAAGCTGTTGATGGCCCCTGACTGGGAACCCTCCCGTTCCCTGATGGAGGAGCCATCATACACGTGCCAGTAAGTGATCTGAGAATCAAATAAACAGAAAAAAATTAAGTTGTCATGTCAGCTATAATTACATCTGTAAATAAAAAAAGATAATATTTCTTCTATCTTAGGTTCCCTTCAATGGTTCCCTGTTAAATCCAGAGAAATAATTTAAATCCTCCTTTTCAAATATAAACTGGTGTCAAAAGTATTAATGTTTAGGACTCAAGTAGAAGTAAACACCTTTGCAGAATTTTAAGTATCAACTTAAGCTCTTTGCCCAAGTAAAAGTGTAAAAGTACAACTCTTAAAACTACTTACCGTAGTATAAAAGAAATGCAGGAAAAATGTCAAGGACAGATGCTTTAGTGCACTACCATATTAAAGAAAGGTTTTTCTACAATTCTTGATAATAACTTCCTTATACTTCATTTTCTTAGTTTTATAACTAATGGCAATAGTGTCAATTTTTATTTTGCGTCATCTTGAAAAACTATTTATTTTGGTATGTGGCGAATAACAAGTTGGTGCAGCAGCGAGATCAACCACAAAGAAATTAACTGTCTGGATAAAATAAATTATTTTGATTTAAAAAAAAATATCAATGGCTATAATGAAAAAAAGAGCTTAAATAAAGTTAAACTAACGTGCAAAGAGTAGAAAGTAGAGATAACTGCAAACAAAGTGTAAGGAAAATACAATTACTCCATAATTACTCCAGTAAAGGCTAGCCAAAATTTCTACTTAAGGAAGTAAACAAAGTATTTGTACTTTTTTACTTGACATCTCTGCATACAAAGCCAAAAACAACCAAGCTCCTTCAGATATCAGAAATATAATTGTTCCTTATGTCTATAGTTGTGTCAAGCACCATAACTGTCTCTATAGTTATGCTACTATAGGCTCAGGCTGCTGGAGGACATGGGGACCATTTTTCTCATTCTTTAGTTCAACTTCTAGTCTTTTGTCATAGCAGCTTCACCTGGCCTAAGATTCTGTTTAGCCATGACACTGTCTTGATAGGGAGGCATTAGCTGGCTGCTGCCATCAACATTTTCCATTTTAGATGATGGGTTTTGAGGGCCTTGTCCTGTTTAAACATAAATATGGGTTCAGCTTTTACTGGATGTGCTCTCTTTCATTCCTTTTGACATGAACACTGGCTCAGCTCAACAAGCTGACAAAGAAGGCCAGCTCTGTTCTAGGAACTCCTTTGGAGATTATTTCACAGAGGAAGTCTCAAAAAAGGGAAGATCATGGACCACAGGGGGCTTCCTTTTCATCAGACTCTATTGAGTCAGAGTATTCCTTGAAAAAAACCTAAAACCCTGTGAGTTACTGCAACATTGCATTTCCCTTTGAGATTGATAAGGTATAACTGAATTGAATAAATTGAATTGAATCATGCATGGGGATGTTCAGTAGAAAGGCAGTACTGAAAATAACCATTCCTGCAGAGCTGCTTGGATTACAGAACTAACCGTATCAAAATAAAATGTATTTCTTATGTTACAATATGTTTATATATATATATATATATATATATATATATATATATATATATACATATACAATATATAGAATATTTTTTACTTAATCTGACCAAACTCAGGCTGTTTGGTAGAGGAGAATGAAGGATAAGTCCAGTTTTTACATGTCAAAAGTGATGGAGACATACCAAGATTTGAAGTGATACACTTCAGATGCTGGTTTTTGTTATCACATAAAACCCAATAGAGAATATATATCAAGATTGCAGCTGTGATGTGAAAAACTCTGCGGTATTTAAAAAGAGCTAATAACGAGAACACACCTTTTTGTCAGTTCCACTGGTGACAATCTGGTGCTCATCTGGATGGTAGCACACGGTCTTGAAGAAAGTGCTGGCAATCACACTTTGAAGGCTATCAAAACATCTGAATGAGGAGACACAGAAGAGAGGTGGAGAGTTTAAAGTATGAACACAGCTTCTCCATCTGGAAATTTGATGGACAGGTCTGTGCCAAGTGTAAAGTTTGGTGAAGGGGGGATTACCGGTATGGTTGGGGGTTGTTTTTCAGGAGCTATGCTTGGCCCCTTAGGTCCAGTGAAAGGAACTTTGAATAGATAGTTTTAGATGTTTAAATGCTCCCTACTATGTAGTAACAGTTTGGGGCTGAACCCACCCAATTCCAAAATGACTGTGCATCACTGCAGAGCCTGGTATGGATGAATTTGACAGGCCTGCAACAGAGTCTTGACCTTGAACCAATAGAACACATTTTGGATGGATTAGAGCAGAGATTGAGAGCCAGACCTTCTCATCCCTGTGTGACCACAGAAATGCATTTATAGAGGAATGATTAAATTTCCCATAAACACTTCTAAACCTTATGAACAGCCTTCCCAGAAGAGTTGAAGCTGCTCTACCCTTCAAAGGTTGAACCACCGTCATATTGCACCCTATGGATTCATTAGATGTCACTGAAGCTCATACTGTATGTGAGTCAAGGCAGGGGCGTGGATACTTTATAATGGATAGAAGATTATGAAATAGAGAGTGGTGTTCTATTTAGGTCTGTCTCTAAAGAATGCAGAGGTGTTTGAATTAAACTCCATGATCAAATAAAGCAGAATAATGACTCCTCACCTGATCTAAGCAGAATCAAACCTTCTGTGTGATGGTGCCTTCACACCCAAAACGAACACTGAATATTTCTTTTGCTATTGCTCACCTTGAAATTCACCTGGCTAGAAAGCAATTTGTATGCTAGGCTAAAGGCTCCAGTACTTCATCATGATTGCTGGTTGTTGTTTCACATCAACAAGGTGGACATGGATTCCACTGAGTGACTTGCAGTGCTTTTCTTCAATTTTAAAAGCAGAAAGAAGCCAACAGCATCCACAGGTTCAACAGAGACTGAACAAGTATGGAGAATACCACCACCTCCTGCAGGAGGCTGCTGGACAGAGAACACCATGGCAGGTACGAGGCAGTGGCTTGCCGATGCTAGCTCAGAAGGAAAGCGAAAGAGGACAGCAGTACATCAGAAAAGTCAGGCGTTGAGCATGGCACTAGTGCTATGGCTACAGCTATGGCCTGCTGATGTGTGTGCTGGAGGTGTGATGTTAAAACAGCTAGGAGAATTTCCATTAAGAAAAGCTTGTCTCGCTGTCTCCTTCACAGTAGGTCACACACATCTAGTCCCAGACTGGATTATCAAACACGAATGAAAGGAAAATTTTCATTTTTTTATATTTTTGCGACTGTTTCCTTGTCAATACTGATAAAAAATATTTAGAGATGAAGTGTTTTAGTCTGTATTCCTTCCAGTTGGGAAGTCTGGTCCAGATGGGCTACTCACTCTAAGTCCCAGATGATGCAGGTGCCACCAGCACTGGCTGTGACGCACTCTTTGTCATCACTCCTGATTTTGATGCAGGACACAAGGGCTTCGTGCTTTTTCATGATCGCCAGAAGGCGGTGGGTGTGAGGCAGAAGTTCCCAAACACACACCTATAAATGGGAAGAGAATTAAACGTATTAATCACCTTCCCCCATTCTTAATCTTTTATGTTAATAAAGGCTTTAAAAATATAATCCTTATTTTAGCATTTTGTAAGAAGCTCACATAGAGGAACCATAGAAGACACATTTTCCAGTAACAATTTTGTAGGTTACTATGAATTTTTAACATATTATGAATGGCAAATTTTAAATAAATAAGAAAATGACAACATATTTAGGCCAAAAGGTTCAACTCTTTATGGATTCCTGTAAAGAAGCTTGGAAAATGAACATTAGAATATACTGACCTCCCCATCTCCTCCTCCGCTGACAATCTTCTTACAGTCTCTGGTGCCAGCGATGGCCGTTCCACCCATTTTGTGAGCATTGTTAATGGTGAGCATCAGCCTCCCACTTTTTGGTCCAAAGACCCGGATCTTACCATCATTCCATGCTAAAATGAAATAAAATTGTGCTTACAACGTTGTAAGGGTCAGAAATAATTTTTATGTTTTTAATAACAATTTGTATTCCATACTTTAGTGTTTTTCAGGTTTGGTTTCAAACCTCAACATACAAGGACCTACAGTACATGTAGAACATCATGAGTGGCTAAAAGTTAACAGCATTGATAATCTTGCATTTCCTTCACAATAATATAGAAACCTGTGGTTGCCAGCAACATCTGGTGCAGTTTCTGGTTCTAATGTGACTCAAAACTGCAGCTGGGTAGCTCAGGTGGTGAGTCACCCATCCTGCAAACAGGAAGCCTGGGTTTGTATCCCAGCTGGGGGGATGGAGCTGCAAATGTGGATAAACTAACGCCTGCTTTAGGGAGTGGCAGACTAGTGCTTAGGGCTTTGCGCTTGGAATCCTGAGGTTCTGAGTTCAAGCCCCACTCCCACAGACTCTGGGTCCCTGAGCAAGACACCTAACCCCACACTGCTCCCAGTGCTCTGCACAATGGCCCACTGCTCCCGGAGGTCAGGGGTTAAATGCAGGACGTTAATTTTGTTGCTCTGTGCTTGTGACAGTGTAATGAAATAAAATGCTTGAAAGAAAATAGTTTGCAGACACTGTACATGGACAACATAAATCTCACCACTGATGATGCTGTTTCCATCAGTCATGAAATCCAGGCAGTTGCAGATCATGTTGGGCACCTTGATGCGCAGCAGTTCTGTCGGCATTCCTACGCGCCACACTCTGATGTCTTCCACAGAACAAGTTGCAAACAACTCAGAGGTGCCACTAGAAAGCAAACATTGATGATTGATGTTGCATCAGTAGGTCAGCCTCTAATGAGCAGACTAAATGATTTAGGTATTGCTGAAGAAATTTGCCCATAATAAAAAAAAGTGATTCAGAAATGAAACTTTGAAGATCTCCCTATTAAAAAAATGTTTTGAAAGTAACTTTCTCAGATCTTATTTTTCATCAGAAATTTTAAATGAGATTTTATTTTCCGAAACTCTATTTTTTAAACAATTTTAGTTTAAAGTTTTATATTTCCCTAAAAAAATCTTAATCTGAGAAAACAGCAAAGTAACTCTCAAAGCCTTTTTTCTAATAAGATATTTCTTAAAGTTTAATTTCTGAATTGCATTTTCTTTAAACTTCCATGTGAAAACTTTGTCTTTGATTACTTTACAGTGAATCATGTTAGTCAAAGTTATAAAATTGAAAAACCTGATATTTATGAGACGAAACATTTCCTTACCGTTACGACAAACCTTTTAATAAGAAAACAACCAAAACAAAACGCCATGAATGAAGTGTCCAATCCAAAAGACAAGAACTGTTTTTAAAATTGCTTACAGATGTCTATATCTGTATCTGTTTTAGTTTAATTTAATAAGTGAACTTTTCAAAAGCTTACAAAATAAGACTCGCTACTAAAATACAAATATTCAAGTGACCATAAGTAAGTCCAGCGGATTCCCAAACAGCTTCTTCCCCGCTACCATCAGACAGCTGCACTGTTGAGAAAACCCTAAATCATGTCACAGACTCTGCCTCACACTGATAACACCAAACTAAAACACTGCATCTTTGCACCATATATATTTAATGCTCTGAACTTCCATATCAATGCGTTTTTTGCACCATATTTTTTTCTCCCACACTGTTTACATCTGATCACTGCTGCACTTTAAGAAACGGAAAGGTCATGAAACGAAATGTAAAGGTACAAAACGAAAATTTCGTTTTGTATAGACTCTGTGTATACAAATATACAATATATAAAACCTGCAGCCAGTTGAGGTTTTATGAATTCTCCTACAGGAAGAACTGCCCCTTTAAAACCTGATGTCAAATGGCTGCTGTGTCTGAAATTGGGAAGAGGATCTGTTTCAGTCTAAGGCTACGTTCACACTGCAGGCCTTGATGCCCTAAATGTATTTCCAAATATATTTGACTTGTATGTGATTTCCTGTGTGAACTGCAGTCATACAACACAAGTGTCCCGCATGTGCAGTAGAGGACGCAATGACGTCACAGGCCAGCATGCTCTTTTTTTCTGGAAGTAAACATGGATGGTAGTGCCGGCGCGCATCTAGCGTCCTTTTCCAACCATAAAACCTCAATCTTTTCAATATGGTTAAACATAAATACTGCTCTCCACATCATCATCTGCCATGGTTGTTGTTTTTCTTTCCGCTTCTGCGTAGCAAGACGCATAATAGTGACCTTTGTCGGGTATTAATGATAATAATTCACACACAGGTCGCATTTGAAAAGATCAGATTGGTATCGGAATCAGGACCACATAGCCAACTGGCCTGGGTCGCATATGGGCAAAAAAATTGGATTAGGTTCACTCAACGCTGTAGTGTGAACGTAGCCTAAATGTAATTTTGAGACAATCCAACGCAAGAAGTAGAGCCTGCTGTCTGATACACCGCTGATTCCCTCTAAATCTCTCGCTGAAAATCTTTACAAGGACAGAAAAGCAGCAGCGAAGCAGAAGTTCTGCCAAATTTCTGCTTTTGGTTTGAGCTAACTCAGACAGAAAGGTTGTCCTGCACATGATAGACTGTATTTAAGTTCATAAATACATCCATTTGAGTTAACAAAGGTGTGATCAGTGATGTTTTTCTGATTTCCTGCCTGATTAAAACTTACAGAGGAATGGCTATGTCGTTGACGGCACCCACATGGCCGGTGGAAATGAGCTCAGCCTCCAAATCATCAAAATTGAGGCGGTACATCTGAGCCCCCTCTGTGCCAACAAAGAGCAGCTTCCCCTCTTTGCTGCCATCGATTGAGGTCACCCCCTTCTCCAGCTGGACTTGCCTATCAGAAGAGAGGGAGGTAGGAAAGGAAAGTCATTTGAACGGAATGTGAAATTAGCAGAATTCACAGTAAAATGTCCCTCTACTGAAAATAGGATGATCCAAACAATGTCACATAAAACTAACCTGATGGTTTTTAAGTCATCACTGGAGCACAGAGCCAAGATGCCAGAACCAGAACCCACAAGCAGTTTTCCGGATTCCATCTTGAGAACATTGACACCCTAAAAAGACAACACAATGTATAATGTGAAAGAAAACAAAAAATAACAAAAAGCATCATGCAGAGGGGACAGGTGAGGGAGAACATTTTAAAACATTTAACTGTTGTTATAAAGCAAAAATACATATGTTAAAATCATTTCCCCGAAGGACAGGGAAGGAGAATTAGCCAGAGATTTCAATTTAATATCAAAGCAGTTTGTTTATATATCGCCATTTTACATCACATCTCATCTTCTATCTCTAAGCTCTTTACAGAGACAATTGGCTCTAAGCACAACTCTACTACTTCCCAAACTTTAGGCAGCTGTTTTGTTTCCTGTACTTTTCTACTGGATGAACTGATTAATCCAGGTGTGCCCGACCTCAGTAACCATGGCCAGACACACCTGGATTAATCAGTTCATCCAGTAATGAACAGGATGAAAGAGACCACATCCAGTGATGCTGCATTCATACCAAAAGAGTTTAGAGTGAATGGAGCGGCTTGTTTCCATGCTAGATCTATGGTGGGCATCTGATTGGTAGCATAATATGAAGGGACTCTGGTTGTGACGCCTTACCATGTTGTACTTTGCTTTAATCGGACCATGTTGATTCAGGATCTTGGTCGCCATGTTGATTTTCAATATGTCTCCACTTGTAGTGCCACAGAACATATAGCGATCGTCTTCTGAAATCTGTAACACAGAGCAGCCTCTGAACTTACAATACAAGGTGTATTGCACATCTAAGACAAACGGAGGTGAAGGAATCCTTATAGAGCCATGATTAACAAAGAATGTAAACACACCTCTATACATTTCACAATCCTGGTCAGCTTGCCTGTTTTGCACTCAGTGGGTATTATCTTTCTCCTGGCAACGTCCAACTGCCAGACTCGCAGTGTTCCACTGCCAAAAGATAGCAATAAGTCAAACTTTGTTGGGTGAAAAGACAAGGTATTTCATAACCCTATCAAGTACCAGCCGAAGCTACAAGAACAATCTGAAGAGTGCTGCAGTTCTGATTTTTAGCCACAGGTAGCAGTATCATTAGAAAACCTCTTTAAATAAAACTACAAACTACGTAGCTACCCAATAACAAAAGTTCTGCACACCACTAGGGAGAGCAGACCATCACTTAATATAGGACCAGATCATTTGTCATTGAATACTATAGAGGCTAAACCACCCCTGTAGATTTCGGAAAAATTATTATTAAATATGCATTCTCAAACTTCATCAATGTATTCATTAAACTGCATTAATCAGCTTTTTATGCCTTTCTCAGATGCAATCTTCCCTCTGCTTTGGAGCAGCAGGACACTGTCTGTCAGTCTCTATGAGAAATCTTAGTTGAGGTTTGAGCCTCTTTCTATTGAGCACTGAGAAAATTGAGCCCTGATTGGATAACACGCCAAAATACGTCCCTTCCTGTGAGGCTAACATCTCAGCAGTCTATGGAGGAGGGATTGGTCATGAAGCTGGCTGCCTGATGCTGAATGGCCAAAATACTTCAGAATTTCTGACTGAGAGTGGCCAGATAACGAGGAGGTTTTCCTTACGAGCACCTGTAGCCAACTTAGTCATTCCTTTATCTCAAGGTATCTTAAGGTACCTTGATGTATCTCAGACATGGACTTGGGAATGACTTTAAACCTAGACTGACCTTGTTCCTGTTCTAAACCAGTCCGGGCAGGCTAACTGCTGCTTGCATAATAAGGAAATAACATTGGGGTTTTTGCTGTTTGTACTTCAAAACATACAAAGAACAGATTTACTAAAAGAAGATGAACATTATATTCTCTTACTTCTATGATTTTACTAGACTTTACATGCTAACACTAACCCTAACCCAGCTATATTGAATTTTAGGTAAAGATGGCTCTAGCTCCGATCCGAACTTTTGGATGCACTAAACATAAAGACCAAATTAATGAGATTTTGTTTCTTTTAATGGCACACTGAAACAGACTAGAAAGTCCAAATGTTGTTACAATTGCGGACAGAAACCCTTCTTTTTACGAATCATTTTACAGAATTAGAGATAGACGTTTTGAACAAACCTGCCGGCCGAAGTGAAGATGTTATCATCGGAGTTGGAGTATCTAACGGTGAGGCAGAAACCGGCACTACAGGCTGAGGCTGGGCTTCCACAGATGTATTCTTTGGTCTCAAGGTTCCATAAGACGATGCTAAGACAAGGCATAGTCAACACTGGGTATGTACTGTTGATCACATGTTCTGTCCCTGTGAGTGCCAGATTTATTAGGGCTCTGTATATTTTAAAGCCTTGCAGTTTACCTGTTATTATCTATGCCCCCAAGAGAAACCAGGTACTTGTCACTGGGAGAGAAGGCAACCCCTTCCACCTTAGCTGTGTGGAAAAACAGCTCGGCATAGATTGTTCTCTCTGCAAAATTCCAGATAATCACTGGTGCCTAGAAACAGGTGGATCTGTAATTGGAGACCATTAAACACTCAACAACGAAAAGGTGTTGTTAATATAATACCTTAAAGCCTCTAAGGCTGATGTGGCCAGAGGCAATGTAGGATCCACTTTTGGAGACGGAAATGCAGGAGACGTTGTCGGAGTGTCGCAGAAACTCCTGCTTGCCGTCCTCTATTCCCTTCAGCATTACAATATTTCCAAGAGGATAGATCAGATGCTTCTTGTCTGGATGAAGTCTCAAGCCAGAGGGAACACATCCTGACAAAATGCATGACAGAAGGACAACTACCATGAAAGTTAGGCATCATTACATTTACATTACATATACATTCTTGAAACTATAAGATATTTTTCTAACTTATTATAACATATTAATATTTTACATCAGGTCTCTTTGCAGGTTATAGAGCCGAATGTCCAAAGTGTTTTATTATCAATTAAAATAAGCTAAAATATTCAACTACTAGAATATATTTATAATTAATAATATAATATAAAACAAAATTTCTTTCAAATCTTTGATATAAAAGGAGAACTTTCTGTTGAGACTTGAATTAGGTTGCGTCCACATTTATCAGTAGGTCTACAACAATTCATAGTCATTAATCGATAATTGAAATTATTTTCCACTAATTTAGCAAACATACCATTAGCTGAAAGAGCAACCCACTCAGAGAAGTATTAAAACTAAATTATTTCTAAAAAAGCAAACATTTTACATTCAAGATGAAAAACCTTTTTTTTGTCTGTCCTTCAATATGTTCTACCCAGAACTCCTCAAGTGGCACAGTTTTAGTTTAACCTGGTTTCAATTCTGTAAAAAACCTTCTTTAAAAAACCTTGTGCCATCCAATGATTAGTAAAAAACTGACAGATTAATCAACCAAAAGAATAATCATTAGTTGCAACCCTAATCTCTACTGAAAATGGTATATGTCTCCCACCAGGTGCACATTATTGTCCGTCACTATATCACATAAATAGTTTTATAGTGTATTTTGGTGCTCCTGACTGTTAAAGGAAGAGAGAATCCTCATGTTGAGACAGTAACTGAGATCCCCTTAGAAATGAGACCAGAGTTTATGCAGTGCAGTGAGAGGTCTCAAAAAAGCTGCAATTCCACTTTGCACTTTGTGTTCCCCTCACTATACAAAAAACATTTTACATGAGGATGACATTTAAGACAACTTCCTTCTAGCCCGGTCTTGCTGCCCCAATCAATTTATCTTAAAAGCAGAGAGTGAGATGCTAAAGGGTGTTTTAAATAACGAAAGCATCAAAATCAGGCTCGGCTTCAAGTTTAAGCGTCGGCCTGTAAATCCAAAATATGTCTTCAATCATTTAGCAGGAGGAAGACTTTTTTCTTTCGAACTATGAATAACAAAATGGAAGATTCGTAATTTTTTTTTAATGTGTCGATCTCACACGAACTTACACTGTACATATTCCTGACCGATAATTAAGTGCACCATTTAATGTGTCTTATTTCTGCATTAATCAAGTTTTTTTTGGGATTGGTTAAGAGTCCATCATTTTTCAGATTAGAATTTTACTTAATTTATTAATATTGTGCCAATTCACACCATATGTAATCTCAAGAGAGACCATAAATACTTTAATTTAAAAAAAAGGAAACGGTGAAATAGATCCACAGTAGCTATGTCTAGGAATGAACCAGCTGAGCAGATAAGCTCTGAGCCAGTTTTCATGTCAAAGGGGAGGGAAAGGGAAACATACAGTAGATCACAGTAAAAGCTGAATCCATAGCTATATGTAGGAAAGAAACAGGACTAAACACTGAAAACAGGTCCAACTTTGACACCTAAGTTTTTGACGGCAGCAGCCAAGCTGCCTCCCTCCAAGATGGTGTCACAGGTAGGGATGGGCACCATAATGGTTCAGGGGCAGACGAGCTTCCGCCTTATCCTCCCTCGGTATCATTTCACTTCTCACAGACACCCAGGCAACATTGTATTGCTGTTCTGCTGCTAAATCAGTCTTTACTATAATCAACACTGCTGTAAATGTAGCAACTTTGTCACTAGAATTAATGACTTAACAGACTGTTTTAGTTACGTCTTAATGTCTCTAAAAGTACCTAAGGATGATTCTAGTGTGTTTTGGTCTTATTCAAGACTGGGGTGAGAATTTTTTTTTTGTTTTGCAGTTTACTGTCTTTAAAGCTTTCTTTTCACTGACGCCATCAAACTGTCACACCTTCAAACAAACTCACATCTCATCCAGTGTGGGTTACTCTGCTATCCCTTAGTTAAATTAAATCATATATACGTATAAAAAAATAATAAGAGTAATATATATATACATGTATATATGTATATATATATATATATATATACTTAAGTTCATAGTTTACAGTTTGATGAGTGCTTTCTCACCTCTACAAAAATACATTACAACATACTTTTATGAAGATATAGCGTTTCAACATATATAATGTCATGTATTTTTTGTTTTGTTTAGATATTTATAAGCAAATAAATGTTCTTTTTTTTATTTATTGTGCTTTTGTTCCAATTTTTTTCTTTCAAAAATTCAAAGTTTAGGAATTGCTTAATTTGATACCTTCGAAAATTATTGAAGCTAAAATGAATTTTACTGAATTAAACAGAATCAATGAGCATTTTGTTCAGATCTACACACTTTTTATAGAAATTAAAATCAGTATAGGCACTTCATTAATTATATATATTCATCTAATAAATAATTAATAACAATATTTCATCTTCATGTTTTCGTTATTTAGGAAAACGTACCGTTGAAGCCGATAACAGCTTTCAGCTCCAGCTGAAGAATGTTTTGCGTTTCATCATCCATGGGTAAAAAAGTTAACAACTAACTTCTAACAACCAGAAATAACTAACACCCACTCACGAAAAGTTCAGAGAAAAGTAATTAATAGTTAATATCCTAAAAGTTTCAGGCCAAAGTTATATTTCCAAAACAGGACGGACTAAACCAGCTACAAACAAGCCGTTGCCTAGCAACAGCGAACTGCCGCAATACGGTCTTCCATGTGCTGCATTCACGTGCTTCGGAAATGTTGCTTTATCATAGTTTCTGTCTCAAATGATCAAACTAGAGACGCTCCGGAAGAAAGCTATAGCTTTAAGCATGGGTTTCATACCTTTATTTTGAAATACAGGTAATAAAAACCACACTATGAAGATAGTAGATCTTCGATCATCTAAAATCTTTGGATCTTCTGGATCACCTTGGATTCTGAAACACAACATTTAATCTACGTAAAACGAATGTATTACAAAAACTGATGCAAGAAAAACAAAAACTAGTAGGCTACTACTACTACTACTTTCTAAGATGAGGCAAATATTCCATTTCCCACCCATGAAGCTTTTTCAATTCAAAATGTCAGGAATAGCCTTGAGTTCGAGGTTTTGACGGGCTACAATATAAAATTTAAAAAAACTCAATGCTATTCCTGACATTTTGAATTAAAAAAAGCTTAAATTAGTGTAACAAGATCTGAGGACAATTTCATATATATATATATATATATATATATATATATATATA